TCTGGTTTGGGAGGGTCTGGTATTCTTGACTTCATAGGAATTCCGGCAGCTGGACGACCGAAGCTAGCAGAAGGTCCTACTCCTGGAATTTTAGAGCCTCCAAAGGCCGGCTTACTGAAGCCACTTCCCATTCCAGGTCCAGGACGCCATGGTGTGGCAGGTGCCTTGGGCTGCGCAAGTGGAGCTGATTCATACTCTTCAGATTCTCGTACCGCAGTACCTTCGGCGGGTGGTTTTGATCTCGAATCAGAGGACTGTAAGAATCGACGCTGTGTATGTGAAGTAGGGCCAATTCCTCCAAGTCGATGCCAACAAAAAGCGCATACTGATGGAGCTGATGTTTCCTATATTGATTAGAATATCATAAAACCTTATAAGATTTAAGTTCCATACCTTTATTAAATTGCGACCCCTCCTCATGATTGCATTGTCGTTTCAATGAATATTTAAACAATTTTCATAAAGTTGCCATCATGATGATGGAAGGAATTTACGGTTACCGAAATGCACTAATTACGCATTTCAATATTCCGAGACATTGTTCCAGCCCTTCCCATTTCACAGTCCATACAAATTAAACTTCACAACCACATAATTTTTAATACATTCTTGTATCTACGGACCATTATGCCTCCTAAAGCGAAGTCCAAGAGGACGTTTAATACTACCTCTGCTAAGAGATCATCCCCAACCACTTCAGATGAACCTCCTGCCCCCTTTACACGGCCTCCTCCAAAGCTTCAACCATTCCTAGAGAAGCTCTCGAAGTATCATATTTACATTGCGCATATCGACAAACATCCCGCAGATTTCAAAAAGAAGATCTTCTTGGTTCCGGTGCTTATGAATGTTGCAATTGTTGTAGGACTCCTATGGCGCGCTTCTACTGTCTTCCCCTTTTACATGAAGATTTGTTTTTCGATGATGGGGAATTACAACGAGACGACCATTCAAACTCATAAGATACCATTGAATGATACAGGATACGAGATTTTACGTCGTGCTTCAATATTTATGATCGATTTACTCCTACATATTTTTGTTTGGCCATGGCCTCGAGATTTCTTTCTGGGACGAACAATCGGTAACCCAGTGTCATGGAGATTAGGAGTAGGTTTCCGCGAAAGTGAGATTGTTGTGCGCCGTAGTAGAAAATGGGATCAAACAATTGGGGATTTCTTGAAGGAAGATAATGAAACTGGAAAAGAATTAATGTCATCGAATGTCAGAAAGGCGATTGAGCCATTATGGTTGTCACAAAAGACCGGATATTTGATGTTGAACAGAGAATGGGATTTGGATTGGAAAGCTATGATTCAGGCTACAAAAATGGTGGATAAGAAGACTATGGATCTTCAAGATTTCAAGACGACTGTCTTCGCATGGCACGCAGCTTATGGATGGATGATTCAAACTGAGGCTCCTATCGACCCAAATAGTAAGGAAGAGTTGGGAAGGAAGAAAATAACAGCTTTCAAGGATGAATTGACATTGATGGGGAAGGAAAACCTTTTCTTCAAATGGATTGAATTGGTTCAATTCGAATCATCGAAACCGGAAGGATTTGGTCCTGAACAGCAAAAGATCACAATGGAGAAGGCCAAAGTAATGTTCGAATCACAAGGAGTCGACTTTGAAGCATTTTGGGAAAAGATTGGTGGGACTGAAGGGCTTCCTGGAATGGATTGATTTGGTTTCGAGATTCAGATGATACCCTATAGAACAAGTGATACATTTCCACCAAAGGCATGAATAAGTATACAAATGATTACGCAGTGATCCGAATACAACATTCTGATCAACTTGATAGGTTCGTGCTATTAAAGGGGCACGTTAGAGCTACGCTCCCAACATACACAAGTGTTGGTTACCAAACATGATGCTGATGCACCTCTCAAAATCCTAATTTCTACAAGTGTAGACAAAATGGTGACAAGTGGTACTTGAATAATCTTTGAATCACTGGCATCACACTGCTTTATTCCCGTCTATATCCAGCAATCGTGTTTTTCACACTGCGGATATATGAAAAGTAGCATTCTAGTCGATTATTTGATTCATTTTGTTTGGATTACTGAAGTAGATTTGATACACCATTCTCAACTTCGGAAGCGATCGACATCATGCACCTGCCGAAACCTGTTCCTCCCTACATTCGAAATGGATCTGCCTCTGAAAGGCTTTTACGCTCGACAGCTTAGGGAAGCTTTATGTTTCTCCATCGCGGCAATTCATCTTACAGCCCACATGCTTTTCCTAGGTCTCTACTACATCCTAATTGTACACATCAAAATTCTGAATGGACACACCGCAACGCCATGATCAACGAATTTATCAGAGTTGCTCTCTGCCCTATCATATATATCAAGCTTATACCACCTCTCTCGATGGATCCAGGGGCAGAAGGAGATTGATTTCTAACAATCAAAGAATGCATTGAGAAGATTTAAAGTGACATTCTTGCCATTGCTCCCGTCATACCATTCACGATTGGAGGCACATGATACTCAAGATTATTCTAATTCGACAAGCAAGACACCGTCGTTCTACACTTCGACGGTGCCTCATTCATATTCGGATCTAGTCAAGTATCTGAATGTTCGGATGCGGCTGAGCTTCTCATCAAACACAAAGCTAAATATGCACTGCTCGTCCAATACGACCTTGTCGGCGATTCCGCTTTGTCATTTTCGGTGGCTCTCCAAGACGGAGTTAATGCACGCAAGCATCTTGTTTATTTGGGTATCTCTCCATCTAAAATCGTCATCTCGAGAGATTCTGCTGGAGGAAACATTGCAGTTGTGTTGTTAAGACATGTTTCTGAGGAGGAATCAGATGGTGGGAATGGTTATTTCTTACCCAATCTTGTCAGTTACACATTGTGGGGTTCATCTATTGATCTCCCGTCTCAAACTTGTGCCCATATAGATACGCATCGGGATTACATAACAGATCACCTAGCGGGCCTCAAATTAGAATGGGGTATCAATCTATATTTCCCAGATCCAATGGAAGTCACGGATTCTTGGTTCTCATTACTACTCTATTCATTCCCCACACCAGTACCAATACGGATGGTGACTGAAAGGCAAAGGGAGATACTTAGCCATACAATCGTTGAGTTTGCAGCGGAGACGAAGGAAGTAGAGGGTAATAAAGTGGAGTTGCATGAAATCTAAAGTACACCTTATGATATTCTCCTCGTGGGGAATAAAATTGGATGATACAAAGAAGCAATGAACGCGACAACTGCTGCAGATCGATATTTGGACTTCTCCGGGAAACTTGCCAATTCTTGGTAATATAGGGATTTAAATTGATGAACTGACTGATAGCCTAAAGTACAGCCAACGAAATTTTGTAACGTGGTTTACTTGATGGAAGTTACGTGCAGAGGCTGAAAAAGATGAGTGGACCGTATCGCTCCGAGCTTTCGAAACTTTCATCCTTGCCATAATGTTTGGAAGTGATGAGTATATCGGAAAGTAAAATTCCACATGTCATCATTATTGAAGTTATTATTGTATCTTGTCTTACCAATCCAGATATGATTGGAATTTTCAAAATCATGCATGTTCCTGATCTGCCTCTGTAGTTTAGAAGCAAGTACTCCACGATTTGTCCCGAGGTCATTTTTTCTTGTCCTAGCCTCTTCTTCTGATGTTCTTTCGATATTCTGATTAGCTATTGGTTTTGTTCCTTACAGTCTTCCTCGTCAGCTAATGCCGATCCAAAACTCTAATGGTGTTCATTAACATTACTATCATCCAATCAAAATTCATCACAGGTCTTTCAAAGTTTTCGTTGCATATCTATGACCTTTTCCCATAGGCCACATTCTAATAAGAAGCGTTCGACTAGTATTCGATTGCCTTGGTAATCTAATTTTATAAGGCACTAAAACTCGAGTACCGTCATTCCCACATCCCTCTGACCAAATCACATTTAATTTACACTTCTGTTACAAACTAAGATGACGATGAACAAATTCATCCCAACAAACTTCTAAATGCCATTCATAGGGTCGCTCTTCCAAGAGCCGCTAGAATCCACTCCACACTAGTACCTGACATATCATCCCAATTCACACATTTTGATCTTCAGCTAAACGGGTCATATACCTAAAATGGCAATAAGCAGTGTGTATCCCATGAGGGGTTGTCTTGTCATCTATAATCCCCTCTCTATAGCTTCCTTGGCTCCTCCTTCATCTTCTTCGCACCATTGCTCAAGAGAGAATGTCAGCATGTCTTTCATTATAGCGACTCGCGCTAAACTGTACCTTACCAAGGCAGGCAGTTTCAACTTTGTCATGAGATTTGAATGTCATCAATGGGTCATAATTTTAGCATTGAAGTCTACTCCTTTCAAACTCTAAAGACCTTGCACTCGATGAAGTATCTGCTTGTCAAATTCGAAAATCATTTAACCTCAAAATATCATCTTACTGTCAACCATGATTTGTGGCTTTGAATAAAACCTAAACACTTTTATTTTTTATTTTTATGTCTCTCATAAGCATTGCCGAGCGGTCATGGGACAATCTATGTTCAAATACCGCAATTAGTGCAGATCGCCCATGAGCTAATTGATACCACAGAACTAGTTTCAGGCTGAATAGTAAATTCTACATGTGCGCCTCAGGGAAACGTCATTCACTATTCGAGATCATCCCTAAATTAGACTTTAAACATGATAACTAATTATATGCTTTATCTGATAGGATGAAGTAACCCCTATATTGATCGTTTTTTCTTAGCGTACACCTTCACGAACGCATATAAATATTTCCCCAATTTTTCTTCACGTTCTGATCATACCCAATCACTCTTTCACAAACATTCGCGAATCTATCATTCAACTTATATAATATACATATATACAATCGCTTTATACACAATCGCTTTATCACAATCGCTTTCTACATAATCACTTTCTACACAAACGATCAAATTCAACTCAACATATACCAAACCATAACTATGAATCCCAACAACACCATGAATTCCAACAGCACCGATAACTTTTACGCCGGAATCACCTCCAAAAATAGCACTTGCGCCAGAGCTATCACCTTGAGATCATGTATTCCAATACATGATGCAAAATCTATAAGTGACGAGCAAAGGCCCGCCTACATTGCAGGTGTCTCAATCGCCTTCTTTTTCATCATCATTTTTGCCATCGCCATACAAAATATTCGCGCTCGCATCGCCTCGAACAGGTCCATGGATGAACATAGACGAGTTGAAGAAGGGAGAATGACCAAGGCTGTTCAGAAGGTCACTGGTAGTGAGATGGTAACTGATAGTGAAAAGACAACTGGTAGTGTAAAGACAACTGGTAGTGGAACCTCAACTGGTAGTTTAAAGACAACTGGTAGTGGAATGACAACTGGTAGTTTGAAGACAGCTGGTAGTGGAACGACAACCGGTAGTGAAAAGGCACATGAAGTTTCAAAGAAACCTGTCAAGTTATGAGGACACGCAGTCTACCTAAGAGAATGAGGAGGTAGAAGAATAAGGGATGGTAAAAGTTTGGGCTGTGATTTTTTCCAGCGCGGTTACGATGAACGATTAAGGAAATTTTGGATGATAATTAATGACGGTCTATTTTGTATGATGAAATGTTAGATAATTAAATACGGTTCTTATGAACAATTCTCATGAATCTCTCTTGTAACATTACTGATTACCTTGCATAATCTCTACGTGAACACTATTATTTTATCGACCTCTCAAGGATTGTCTTTGTCACTACATTAATACAATTCAAATATTGTTCTTCTTTTTGAAGACGTTTTTCTGAATGGTTTCATTGTCTCCGGAAAGATGAGGAAACACTATTAATTAGGACAATAACGTTCATCGAGATTGGCTGGGACCGGGGCTCTTGTGATCAACAGCGTGCTGAAATATATTTTATCTGCTGGGTAAGTGATTCTGTGACTTATAATTGAGCGTTGGAAGTTTCATAAACTTTAGAGGTTGTCAATGTTCGAATATCGAAGGACGTAAATGACGTGTATGTCTTATGTCGTCTTCGAAAAGGCTGTGCTAGTATTAAGCATCCGTCATGCCAACTATAGACCGATAAAGTCTTGAAAAATTTCCGACTCATCACGGGATTTCACATTGTAATTGGTGATTATCAAGTCTTTTGGTGATGGAGCTAGATTGATAGCCAAAGTAATTCATTGACACTAGTACTAATATGTTTGTTCTAGAAATTTCATCACAGACTTTGATCGGCCGCCTGAAAGTTTATTTTATGCCTTCCACCTATCAATTTTATCCTCATTACGAACAATCACTGCCCCCTTTAACCGACATATTTGATCTAAAAATAGGTAGTATCTTTAATATTCCTGCAGTAGCACAAGCCAGAATGTCATATCAAACTAAGACTAGAATTCAGAGCTCTAGGCTATCTTTTCCTAGAAGTTAAATTTTTCTTCCACCCAAGGCCTCTCTTAAAGCAAAAAGTATGCGTTGTCCTGTGATCTCAGCCTTTCCTCACTTTCACCTTGGAAGACAAGAAAGAAACCGTTGAAGCCAAAGTGATGAAAACATTACACCATTTTACTATCTAAGTCCAAAGAATTGTACAACCGCCCACACGCACTTGTCTGATAGTTTATCTGCCATTGGAACTTTAAGTTTTCAATAAAGTTTTATTATCGGAAAAATATTCCAACCAGAATAAAGTGAGAGTTTGTGACGTAAATCTCAACACACAATATAATTCATAATTTGGAATGACCTTATCATCAAAGAAGAGAAATTGTAGATGAAATGGATCCTGAATGAGAAAATAATGAATCTTTATCCCTAGAAAGATTAACTACATAGATAAATTATCTAGATTATCCATGACAGACCACGATCATGAAATTACATCACGCAAAACTTCTTCGCACCTTCGTTTAAGCGAAATGTCAAATCTGTCCCCCTCATTTTAGCGCACGACTAGCATGAAAACTAAGATATTAGACTCATAAATCTGTCTCCCCCACACAGAAAGAGGCTTAAATCTCTTAGTTCGTAGACTAGATATCAGTAGTTAATATTTAGCACCAACTCAAACCCCAAAGATAGAAGAAACCTGAAATTTATGTTAACGACCTGGACTATCATTAAGCCAGACCATGCCGCTAAGCGCATGAAAACCGATCTTATTGTACAATTTATGCCTATCTAGGCTAGCTCCTTCCACTGTAGAGCTCGTCAATTACTACAAAAGTCTAAGATGACGAATTCTCTGGATTAGATCCAACGGTTTGTCTTTAGCGGGTAGATCTGTTCTTGGGACTTGGCTGGTTCGCAGATAAATTCCCTATATAAAGGTTGCCCCCCCCCCCCCGCATTTGAGGAATTTTACCATCTTCATCTTCGTACCAACATTCAGGAACTCGTTCGCGCATACTTTTACGCATTCACATATCTTTACACACAGACCAGAGATAACCATGGCGAATCCAGCCAACATGACGAATCCAGCAAACATGACTTCTCCCCAAGTCCATCACTGTATATCTTCACTCCAAACATTATCCACCCACCTATTATTACTATCACTAGTACTCAGCATCATCACAGCATATCTCTCTATCTCGATGCTGATTAAAAAAATATCCTCATTCTACCCTTCTTCCAACTACAAAACCGCGGCCTCTCGACCCTATCTTTGGAAGAACACTAGAAAATTTTTCGTATCGCTCTCAATTCTGATGAGCCTAGATCTAGAATTCCTCGTCTTCTATGGCGTCTATCAAATGGCCAGAAAAGCAATTAAAATTTCGGGATTAAAGCAGAGGGGAAAGTTCAAGTTCCTCGCATTTATATTCACCGAACAACCAAACTGGCCTTTGGTTGGCGCTGTTTGCGAGATTGGTGAATTGTGGGCAGATACCACAATGGAGCATTTACAGATGCTTTTTGGGAAGAAGAGAAAGAACGCTACTGAGAACGAAGAGAAAAGGGAAGAAACCCCTCCCTCCACAACGTATTCGGGAAAAATCCCCGCATCCATCAAAAACATTTCCTCACCACTTGACGGAATTGATCACAATATTGCCACGGGGTCGGATGAACCACACTCATACAAGACAATATTATGTAAACTAAAGGAAATACACAAAGCCGATACCATCGCAGCAGACAAGAAAAAAATAGAAATTTCTTCCGATCTCAAACATTCAGAAAGTCAATCTCCCTCGTCCCAAGTAAAAAGACGTCTTTTCCTCAATTTCGTGGACTTCGAAACCAAGGAAGAAAGGCCGACCCATGGCGATAAGCGTGCTATTGCAGACGAAACAAGATCCCCGACTTTTTCTCTTTCTCCATTTCATTTTACTAAACTCCGGTCAAGGTCAAAAATCCCCGTTGGCCTTCCAAGCCCTCTGAAATCAAGAATCCGTGAAGTGACCGATTCAGTTGAGCGATTGGAGAGATTGGATAGAAAGCTGAAGGATATTTTGGAAAATGCAGAAACGACTGCTGCTAACATTGAGGCCGGTGATAAAGATGAAAATGAAGATCAAGATGAAGATGAAAGTCAAGATGGAGATGAAATGGAATCAGGTATCTTGACTCCCTCAACTTCTTCAAGTGAATGGGTACCTGTTGAAGCACCATTGACTCCCTCAGCCCACCCTGAACCTACATTTGAGGATGAGGCTGAGGAGGAAGAGGAGGACACGCCGTCTGATTTATTGACACCTTCAACTTCTTCAACGCCTTCGATTCCCTCATCTCCTTCATCCCGATCCCACTCCTCACCCAGTCCAGCAACCACCATCAACGGCCACCCCTGGAAACTCTTCCTCGTCGATACTCTCTACATATGCGATAATTCCCTGCACCATGAATGGAGAACAGCTAAGCTCTTCAACGCATGGTGTAGGAAGAATTCCTGGTTTGCCGTTACCGAGGAAGAAATTGAGCTTTTGGCGAAATGGAAATCGTGGGCTTTGGATGATAGACCCGCTGATCAGAAGTGGTTTTGGTAGATGGTGCGAATTGGGAATGCGCACCAGGATTAATGATTCGATGAATAACTCAGAGTCAAATTGAACGGGTTGGGATAATTTGTAATTAGACATAGATTGATATATAAGACGTTGTGGAAAGTTTGATTTAGAATAAACATTAATAATAATAAAATTGAAGGCCATATTTTAATCATTTACTCGGTTGTTTCAATTGGGAATCTACGAAAAAGAGAGATCAAAACCGAAAGACCTCTCAGTATGTGAATTCAATTGAGTATCTGGCGATCAGAATAATGAAGATCGATGATTTGAATGGTGTTAATTTGGATTGATTCTTAGATATTTGACTGCCTGGGAGGCACCAATACCGCACGTCATGTAGCCTTAGCCTTTCTATTCCTATACTGTACTTTACCCCTCAAGTAATCAACCCACAACATTCCCACCAACACCCTCACACCACCCTTTGATATTTTCCGTCACAACCCTCCTCAATTTCTCCACACTACTTATTCCATACCAAGCAACATGCGGACTTAAGATTAATCTTCCACTATCCCGCAACTCGCTATCTCTCGCTGCTTTCACCAACGTACTATTTTCGGCGGCTGGTTCTTCTACATAAACATCCGTTGCGGCTCCTGCAATTTTGCCTTGCTTCAATGCATCTACTAAATCCTCCTCATTGACTATTCCTCCTCGTGCGATATTGATGATGAGAGCATCTGGTCTCATTATTGATATTTCCGCCGAGGCGATCATATTTTCGGTAGTGGGTGTCAAGGGGAGAGAGAGGAAGAGGACGCTACTTGTTTTCATGACGGTGGTGAACGGGGTATAATTTGGACGAGTTTCGGATTCGGCAACACCTTTTCGTTCACACATATGAACGGTCATTCCTAAGGCTCGACAAAGGTTTGCTATTCGGTTTCCTATTATTTGTTAGTTTTTATGGTTCGTGTGCTTGGTGTTGTGGGATTGCGGGCATAGTCTCCAGTGGCCCAGTCCGACATTGAAAGAACCAGAAGCTTTCAATCCGGAAGCCCATTTGAGCACTCAGTTTTTATTAGGGTGTTTAATATTCTGAACCGCGATTCAACAATGAAGATTACCAATATTGTTAGACTGCGGCCCGGAATATTGAATACCCTGAGGCTCATAGGGAATACATCCTTCAGACTACTGACTACCTTGGTATGAAAAAGAGATGAGAGCTCAATAGACTGCCATATCACATGATCTGGTCAACTTTGACTACATCACCTAGACAATAGCTCCTACTGATAGATGATTAAAAGAGAAGCATGAAGCGAACTACGCTTCAGTCACTCCTTCGATTTAATTTCTCAAAAACAACCCCAAGAAAAATGAAACCGCAATCTTACCCAACTCTCCACCCCCTACAATTCCCACCACTTCCCCCTTAAATCCTGTCATCAATCCCCCATAGAAATGCTCACTTAAACTTCCCTTTTCCTTCCATTCTTTTCCCTCTCTAGTTCTCTCATGCATCCCTACTACATTTCTCCTAAGCGCCATGTACAACGTTAACCCATGTTCTGACACCGCTTCGTTACTTGCCGCTGGGACATTTGATACCGAAATCCCATGTTCTTTACAATAAGCGATATCGATATGATCTGTTCCAATGGCAAGAATAGCTATATGCTTTAAGTTTGGTAGTTGGGACAGAATGGATGAGGTGAGGAAGAAACGGGTGGAGATTAATACATGGGCGGGTTTTAGATATGTCATTAGTTCGTCACCTTTTGGAGGAGGATTGGGTAGTTCGGTGATGGTATAAGGGATTGGGAGCGACGAAAAATCGGGTGAGGGTGTATGGATTGGATCGAGACGGAGGATGTGGAGGGTTTCGGGGAGGTTTGAACGAAGGGTTTGTGAAGTTGAGTCGACCATACTTGCTTGATAAATTGAGACGGGATTGATGGATTAAATGAAGAGATCTGCCTGTATCCGAGTTGTAATCTTTCACGCAGTTTGAAAAGCAATAAATAATCAAAATGGAATCTATATGATGAGTAACAAGATAAGAAAGAACGTCTAGTAAGCATTTGTCTATTTAAAGGCGTAAAGTTTTAGTGGAACCTTTCCCCACATTTGAGGTTCGGATGATTGTCCGTGATAGAAAGCTTCGAGAAGGCTTAGCTTATCAGATTGGACGACCATCAGGTAGACATTACATACAAGTAATGTTTTGCTTTTCTTGTGACAAAGATTATGCGCATATATGAGCTTGGATTGGAAATTGGAAAGAAATGATTGAGATGTTGTCGACGCGATACAACCAATATCCGCCTAACTACAGCCGATGAAGGTAACCGTAAGAGTCAGAATAATCCTCGATGAATGAGACATGTACTTGCCATTCTTCCTGTAAGAGAGATACTAATGGCCATTCATGATGAAAGTGATTGTGGGTTATGATATGAAATTAAAAACCAGTGATAAAGTGCAGATTTGATCATCAATATGATCTACTCCTATATCCTACTCCGACGATACCAATCCAACCCAATTCAATGGACAACTACCATGAAAGAAACACCAACGCAATACAATCTATGCCGCATAAGTTTCTCCAAGACCAAGTTGACAACAACCAAACAATACAACACGAAATCTCGACCATATGAGCTTCATTACGCATCCCCTTCAAGAGTTCATTGAGTTCAAACTCCGTGTATCCATATATTGAGAATGGAAGCTGTGAAATCCAGACATGCAATTGATTTACATGCCAGAGTTCTTGGCAGCTACGCAGTTTCAAAAGTGTTAGTACACTAGGGAAATCGATCTTAGAAAATGAAAAGGTAGAGACCAGAGGGGAAAGACTGTCATATGTTCCGGAAAAGAGAAGAAGAATTCTTGTAGCGTACCTTGGTTAACACTAGCAGAGTCGAAGCTAACGACGTTTCCCTGAGCATCGGTCATTGAGGCAGTCGATGCATCTACTGCGCGTGCTGCGAGTTGAATAGCTGTGTTTTTGTTAGCAGGTGAATAATACATGGCTCCGTTGATACGGGGAGCGGAAAGGTGACTGTGGATGATGAAGGTAGGTCGGCATGTGGAAAATTGGGATAACATACGTGTGGCAATCGTAATGGCGACGAAAGAAAGAATAGTGACGAGTGTGAACTGCATGGTTGCTGGTGGGTATGTTTATTCAGGTGTTGAGCGATAAAAAATGCAGAAGACTGTTTAATGATGGTGATGATTTAATGAAGTCGACCGGTAACAAGTAATTGCGTATAAACAAGAAATTAATCAATGATTGATAGATGGATAGATGGATAAAGAACTAGATGAAAATAGTGATAAAACGAATCCCCATACTTCGAGGTCATCGTCTTTATATCTTTTCTTCATCGAACCATCAACATCCCACGAACTCAAAACGAGGATCCAGACTCAAACCTGCGCCTCTCGCTTCCCAAAGCCATCATCATAAAATTCATCCAATATCTATTAAGAGATGATTTCAAAGGGGTACCTATCAACATGCCAATCCCATGTCTACTCAACTCTATCGCTTTGCTTGATTCGCAGATATCATGATTCGAGCAGAAACCGGGGTTCACTGCATTACAAATTGAATGATATTCACATGGTCATGATACATCGAATGTATGGACAAGGCTTATGTTGTATAGAGTATTAATTGAGCTCGTGGAGATTTCTCAGATCTGCTGGGGGAAGTTGGGGATAATGATAAAGAAAAACTGGATTGATGTGTTGTAAGGATTGAAAGAAAAAAGGGGATGAAACATGGATGAAGTGAAGCGAGATGCAAAGATGGCTGTCATCCCAACATTACCCGTGAAGCTTCGAAAACATCCAATGGTCTGATATAATAAGAATTCTTCATGCGTAGAAGGTTTGAGGAAGACGGGAATCTTGAGATCCGAACGGATGAACTTTCGGAGGCTGTAGATGTTGTGGAGGAATAAGGTTTTCTGTTGTTGTTTATAGATTTAAGGGGTAAAGGTCTCGTTTGAGGCTGGGTGGTTTGGGAAATGATTGATAACAAGCTGGAGCTTCTTAGATAGATGAGACCTGATATTGATGTGTAAGCAAATTGATTATTGCTTTTGATCTGTACATAGCCTTTCAGTACCTAGGTATTCGACTTGCGATTCGTATCATACTTGGTAGTAAAATCGTGGCGTCGGCTGGGCTGAGTGCCTGAATATCTCGAGATATTTGTCTTTGTACTTTGAAATGATGACATATAGGGAGGAAGGATATCTTTCAAGCTTAAAACAGGAGCTCTTTGAATGATGATGAAAAGGGCTTTATTGTCAGCTGCACTTTCAATACAAAAGAAGTTGAAACAACAACTTCATCACCATCGTCGCCATGATATCAACGTCAACGTCTGTTGGTTAATTCGAATCACTCCCGCTTCACGCTTCACGATGGGAATGAAATATAATCATCATTGATATGAAGCAATAAAAAGCAAGCAGACATTCAATTACCGGTACTCATCTACATATATTCTTACCGACGACCGACCGACCAACCAACCGACTAACGGGACCTAATGAACCGAGCTCGCCGAGTAAGCCGGAGATCTCGGACTAGAATGATCCACCTGCATCTTCTTAATGTCCAAATCCGGAATGGATAATAATGCACAATTCGGAAATTATCCACTCGTGCGACTCAAATCGAGATTTATGCAAATCATAGGTACCTGAAACATTCATCATCGATTTCCACAAATCAAGACTAAAAGCTTATCGATAACCCCCGCTATGAAGTCCCACAACCCCCGAGCTCCTTCTACCGGTACTGACAGTCACATTCACATTCACATTCACTCACAACAACCTTCCTTTCCCTATCAGACTTCACTCCCACTCAATTCCCTTATCTCAACATCATCAATAACCTCATTTCACCAACTTACTCTCATCACAAAGGTTGTCAAGTACCATAGAGTTAACTTGTTACGTGATTACAAATACAAATTCAAATACGAGTTCAAGTATTCATACAATCACTCGTATCCATATTCGTATCCCCTTCCCTTACCGTCAAGTCGACGACTACAACTCCATTCAAATCCAAGCCTCAATACAACAACAAATCCATCTTCTACCAATCCATCCTCACCACTAACATCAAAAACCATGGCAACTCCAGATCACTGTCTCTATTGTTTCGAAGTTTTAACTGCTCATCTCGAAAAACGACAACCATTAGGTTTGGAAAAGGTTCAGGAGTTATGGACATCCTATCCTAAAGGTCTCGAATTACAAAACACGGAAGAAGAGGAAGAAGAAGATGTTGATCTTCAAATTACTGGTTCCCATCCACCAAAAACAAATCCAAGACCCGATCCAAATTCAACCACAAATTCAGCACGCCATCCTATCCTCCAACGAATTACACGATCTGCTTCCGGAACCAGTACTCCATCTTCCAGTTCCTCTGAACGAACATCAACCTCAAATTCCACATCTGCAACTACTCCCTCTAGTTCCACCACCTCATTCACCCCCATCGGTATCTCCCCTACTCCCCGTCAAACAACCCAACTCACCCCTCCCCGCAACCTCCGCGAATGGTCCACCCCCCTCTTCGTTACCTGGAACACTCTTTCCTCTTCCTCACAACCCCATCAACAATCTCCCTCTCTACGCGGCTGCATCGGTACTTTCTCCTCTGAACCCCTTCTCACATCTCTACCCGAATATGCAATAATCTCCGCTCTGCACGATTCCCGCTTCGATCCCATTACGCTGCGGGAACTCCCAACTCTCGAGGTTGCCGTCACTTTACTTACGGATTTCGAAGAGTGTGCTCATCCGCTCGATTGGGAAATTGGGGTTCACGGGATTAGGATTAGTTTTTATCATAAGAATAAGAGGTTTGGAGCATGCTATTTACCTGATGTGGCGGTGGAGCAGGAGTGGGGAAAGGAAGAGACGGTTGTTAGTGCGATGAGGAAGGCGGGTTGGGGAGGGAGGAGGGAGAAGTGGAGGGAGGTGAGCCAGTTGAATGTGGTTAGGTATCAGGGAAGAAAAGAGAGTGTCAGTTGGAAGGAATATAATGAGTGGAGGACTTGGGTAGAAAAGCTGGACAATAAGGCTGAGACGAGGAGTTAGAGGGGATTGATATCAGACCTTCTGGACACTGGAGATAGGAACAGGATGGGGAGGAATCTCACTATCATCGATTTAAGCGGATGGTAAAAGTGCGCGAGAACATGGAAATAGGGAGGGCATGAGTTACAACATACAATGATTTATGACAAGTTACAACAGAAAGAGATCTAATTGGGGGGAGGGCTTTATTTAATTTCTGTTATTCCTTCTATTCATTTTACTTCATTCCCTACCTCGTTCAAACCGTCGCATCTACTTCCCTCACCCCCCCCGCCTAGTCGTAGGAGAAAAAAAACAGACCGGAATTGACCACTGGAGAAAGCCTTCAGCAATCCAATTATTCCATTCGATTCCAAAGAATTTAGAGTTTAATTGAGGGGTATCTAAGGGTTTGTAGGGTCTCCTCTAGCAATCCATCCATACTATACGTCTTCTCTCCACCCGACTCATAGTCAATTCCTCACATCTCGAGCAGCGTGCTGGATCCTTTCATTCATTCATTCATTCATTCTCCCCTCCCTAACAATAGCACGCGCAATGAATAGATGATAAAACTAGAAACATCGCGAGTAAGTTGACCTGTCTTTACCTAGTTGCTAGCATTTCCACGCGCATCTCATGTTTCATACATACCTAGGCACGTACTTGGTACATATACACTTCATTCGAGATCCTTCAAAGTATCCAAGTATTCTATATCCTATACTCAATTTCATTAATCGCTAGAGAAAAGTATGGAAAGCTCCTCGGCTCCTCGCTAGATGCTTTGCTATCCTATGGTATATGGTATATGCTATTCGTCCTTTTCCTTTATGTCTTTTCTTTTTTGCAACAGACAGTAGATAGTAGACAGTAGGCAGCAATGCAGCAATGTGTTTTTATTCCATCCCATTCCGTTCAGCCCATCCAGCCCTTGACATTGATTGGCATTTTACTTGCCTAAATTGACAAACCCAACCATTCCGAATCCATCCCGTCCAAGCGTATCCTTCCCTCCACGCTATCCCTATTCCTATCCCCTTCCTTCCCTTTGCCTTCCCAAATATAAAAATACAAATGGATATCCAGTAAATCAACTAAGCAAAATCACTACTCATAAGTTGTGATGTCATTAATATATGTCGTAAGTTCTCGTCTTGTGTCGTCCGTCTCGTCTTATTCCTTCTTTTCCAGCCACTTGCTCTCATTCACCATTATCTCCAACCACCTCATCCCACCTATCAAATCGAACTATCTCCAGCAGGCGAACTTCCTTCCTATCTCCCTCAATTTTCCCTTGCTAATTCCTCTCCCATTTCTATTCCCTCTCTTTTCATATTCTCCACTTGGAGTCCCCGGCGGTAACGGCGTCAATGGTTTCGTCATCGCTCTCCTGGTCCCCAACTTCTCCCTTTCCCCATTCATTTCATCCCCTTCCGCCCCATCCATACGCACTCCCGATATCTCATCTCCAAATTCCCCTCTATCCATCATTTCCCTATCCATCAAAGCCCTCTTCCTTCCCTCCACAACCCGTCTAACAATCAACGCGAAAGTTTCCTCGATATTAACAATGCTCCTCGCGCTTGTTTCCATAAACCCACAATTTCTTGCCCTAGCCCATTCCAAACCCTGCGAAGCCGTCACCTCGCGCGATTCTTGCAGATCGCATTTATTTCCCGCAATGATTTTAATTGGAGGCGTATATCCATAATCAAATCCTCCCCCTTGTATTGACTTTGCATTTGAGATCTGAAATTTCTTTGTTTTTGAACGAGATTTCGAAGGAGAAGATTCGGCCTGCGCTCTTCTCCATTCTTCGCCCCGAACTTCTCCCTCCATAGTAACTAATTCGTCGAACCAATCCAGCGCATCCAAACTTTCCCGTCGCGTAATATCATATACCAATAAGAAAGCATCACTTCTCATACTCCCATTGGCACTTTGCCACATGCCGCGATATTCTTCTTGGCCTGCGGTGTCGGTTATGGAGAGATGATATGTTTGGCCATCGATGCGTCGGGTGAGGGTATAGGAATCTTCAATTGTAGGGTCGTAGTCAGATGTCCATTGAGATTTCACGAGGCGGAGGGTTAAAGCGGATTTGCCAACGCCACCGTCGCCGAGGATAGTTATGGTTATGCGATTGGAGTCATAAGAAGTTGCTGCCATGATTCGGTCGTGTAATGTTGTATGGTGAGGTATTTGCGGAGACGAGGTAGGAGGGAAATGGATTGAAGAGTGGACGATTGGTAGGCTTTGTTTAAGAGCGAAAGCGAAAGGACAAGTTGTTTGAGAAGGTGTTTGAGGTATGGTAGAAGTAGAATTGAAACCGTCGCTCGAAACCGAATTGATTGTCGCAGATACTTGTTCTTAACTGAGCGTTCAATGTCCGTTCAATGTCTGTTCGTTCATTCATTCATTCATTCGCTCGCTCGTCCGTTTGTTCGTTCGAGTATGTAGGTATTGTATGTATGTTTTCCTCCAACCTTCCTACCTTCCTCCACATTCACTGACGACTCGGGAATTCCCTTGTATCCTTTCTCCTTTCTTTCTTTCCTTTTCCCAATCGCGCCAAACCTTCGATCCAATTGATTTAAAACAATTTGATCCAATTCGAATATTCTTCTTTCAACTCACTTCTGAAAACCCAATTGTCTTCTAGTCGAAAGAAGAAATTCCGCACAGACTGTAATATAAATATAATCTATCCCGCGTCTCTTTTTAATTCCAATCAATCTTACCGTTATCCCCTTTCTTATAATAGTATGTCTTCTCTTCAATTGGGTTTGGCGTATGTATACTCTCCTATTCTCTTGAAGAATGGAATCTTTGATACATTTATAAACTTTGAGGACCTACATGTAACGATGAGAAAAGAAAAAGAAAAAGGTGTGGCACACCCAACAATTGATTTGTGCAACCACGCGCCTCAATTAGTCTTCTCCAAATTCCCGAGACAAGCAAGCAGACAAGGAAGGGCAGGACGTGAAAGGTTGTGCGATTGTGTTGAGTCAAGTCATATCATTCGATACTGGTCTGATATCAATATACCGGGGCAGCATCTCCCTGCTGTGCCAGTCGAGCGATGAATAATCCGCTGGTAAATTATCTGGCCTACCTATTGGAAAGACATTTTACTCTCGATGCTTTTTCCCATCTGGCTTGACTCGAATGTTTGTGTTGGGTAATCCGTCCCCGAGTCCCGAGTCAATATAAGACCTTGTGAAGACGTGGAAGGAAAAAAAAGTTAATCTGAATCAAATCCGAGACTGAACTCTCCGGGGAAGGAAAAGAAATGGAGATTTGAGAGATTCGAAAGATTGGGTTTAATGGAATGATATGATAAAAGGTAAATGCGCGGAGATATATCAGGGGTATGTGAACCAATGAAATACGAGAATTGAAGTATCAAGAGGTAGACGGTCGACCCAAGTAGGGATTATTGGAATGGCCCCGGGGTGTTGTGGTTGTGGGTAGACGAGGTAGACTCGGTAGAGTACGGAGTAGATGGATAAGATGGATAAGATGGAATGGATCAGGAGAAAAATTGGTCTGTGATATGAACCCGTGGGTGAGTGGGTGGCTTGGCGGACGACCGAGATGGTCTAATTGTGATTTGTTCTTTTTGATCTTCTTCTCTTCCTTGATACTTGGTAGGAGAGAGATATAAAGCAAGCAAGCAATCAATTAACCAATTAACCATTACATTAATAAGTATTGTGTACAGACTACCTATTCTTATTCTGATTTTTGATATCTTTCCTCAAGTTCCTTGCTTCATCAATCCATGCGGTCCTTTATGCATTCACCCATCCCCTCCTCCCATTGAATTGAAGAAATGTACTCGAGTAGTGAGGAAAGTATTCAACTGGCTGCAAGCTGCACCTTGAATAGTATACAATCTCATAGAGTTGAGCTTTCCTTTGCGAATAAACCATCAGGGATGAGAGATTATTAGTGAGGTTGGTCTGGCCTGGGTTGGGGAGATACTTCAATCTTTTTCCCTCTTATTATTCCGCTACATTTGTTCTTATACTATTAGATAGAGAGGTAGTGATGAATCTATTGATATATATATCAAATATAATAGAATGATAAATTACATCTCCCATCTCCCATCTCCCTCACCCCTCAAAAGGCCTGAGCTCACTCATCTCCATCTTAGAGGGTCCCTTATCAACCAGAATTGCATTTATCGTCACCATCTCCTTTCTATGACCACCATCTCTCACATGTGCATCAAACGTCCCTATCACTTCTTCCTTCTCACCAAGTCCTCGAGTGCTTCCCCTCCCTACTCCTTCTCCTCCTCCTTCGATTCTCCCTTCCCTTCCCCCATTTTTCTCATCTCCCTGGTTTATTTCATAAGAACCAGGTCTTGAACGATAGGCTTGCCAACCAAGGCACAGGATACCAATCAAAAAGGAGGCTGCCGGAAAGCCACAGAGAAATGCAATTCCCCATGCTGGGAACTTTCGTTTTATTTCTACGGAAAAACCGTATTTCAGAATGTCAGCGGGATTCGAGTAAGAGGAGGAGATATTTTGTGCGGGTAAGTTGGTTGCATTCATGGTTGCTGGCCTTGAATATCAATTGGTTGGTATGTATTTCGTGAACTCTTTGTCGTTTCTATGAAATGATTCGTATGTGCTTTTCGTATTGTTCAAGGTATTCTTGCGGTCATGTGGATCTTGTGTGAGAAACCTATTTTTATAGTTAATTGTATTCTTCACTAAGAATGGAACTAGGTATGACTTTGCAGTTTTAGCTCCTCAAACTTTCTAGACTCGTGACCGCTTCAAGTCTCTCTTCTCTATGAAGTGCGTAGCAGGTTGATATATCTTCATACGATAGAGAGAACGGATCCATTTAATACTGACTGGCATGAATTAGTATTCTCGGAGATCGGGTGTGTTGGTATACCTTTCTACCAGGCACACAAACAACTAAAAATCACCGTCATGTTAGATTGAATGGGCTTACCCCATTGCCGAAAATGAAGATACATGTCAGTGGCGCTATAGGAAGAGGGGGGAGGTTATCTTTTAATTGATTAATCAAGTAGGTAAATAAGTATTTGAACAATGTTTCTTAAACTTTGAATATGCGCCGTTATAATCATGATAATGTTTCGGAGCGTAGCGAAAGAAACTTATGCACCGGATTTTATGGAATTTTTATATAGTGTAATATAGATTATATTTTCAGTACTCAGGAATTTAATTTGTACATAGTTACATATATAATATCTTTTTTTATCACCAGAATTAAAAATATAAAGAATTTAAATAATAAAGAAAAAACTTTATCTTTATTTTTTTATTATCAAAAGCTTATTAAAGATTGATTATTCTAATTCTAATTTTAATTTTGATAAATTATTATTTAACATATATAAAAATCTATTTTTAAACTTTTAATTCTTATTATGTTTAAGTTTAAGATAATAAATCTAAATCATCTAAATCATCTAAATCATCTAAATCATCTAAATCATCTAAATCATCTAAATCATCTAAATCATCTAAATCATCTAAATCATCTAAATCATCTAAATCATCAGAATAATCAGAATAATCAGAATAATCAGAATAATCAGAATAATCAGAATAATCAGAATAATCAGAATAATCAGAATAATCAGAATAATCAGAATAATCAGAATAATCAGAATAATCAGAATAATCAGAATAATCAGAATAATCAGAATAATCAGAATAATCAGAATAATCAGAATAATCAGAATAATATACGATCCGAAACATTGACGAGTTCACTCGCCCCGAGATACTTGTTGGGAGGAAAAGGGAGATGAGGTGAATCTGATGGGTTGAGAAGTATGGTGTATGATTTCAACGGTTCCTTCCCTTTCAGAGGAGTCGAAATCTACACGTGCACGGTAGGGTAGAGGTCACTTTGGTAGAGCGTCGCTTCCTCAACTGAAAGATCAACAAGGGCAATTCAAGTGACTTCCTATTCTGGGAGAGCTCATCTAAGCCCTGTGTCAATCATCTTTTTTCTCTTCTCATTGATTCCCAATTGTCTCCGTTAAAGTTGCCCCAATGCCAAAATGAGAGATCTACCACCATTCTTTTACTAAAAGCATTCAAAAGCGTATTCGATATTCCTATTTAGAGTATCTTTAATGACTCTTTGTTTTCATCATGTAACTATCTTCATATTGGCTTTCCTCCCAGTCATAACCTATCGTAACGCGCTCAATGAATTCTAAAATCAAAAACTATGTATTGGGTATGGGGTATGGGGTATTGAAATTAGGCGGCCATGACGACATCAACTTGATGTGCAACGCCACCAGTTTTTCCGGAGATTGGTTTCTCAACACCATCCATCTCCATGTCATCATCCCCAGCACCTTCTTCTTCCTCAACTTCCTCATCGGATTCGCCACTGCTCTCAGCCTCAAGATCTTCACTCTCATCACCAGTTTCTTCAGCGGCAGCTCCCTCAGCTTCTGCGCCAGCCATCTCTGAATCTTGTTCCATTGCATCTGGGTCGGCTACACCACCTTCCTCTCCCTCAACTTCCTCGTCCTCGTCCTCTCCAGCTTCTTCGGCGCCATATTCTTCTCCATCGGCGACCAAATCTGCCTCAGGTTGTTCAGGAGGGAATTCAGCAGGAGCAGATGCATCGGAGTCCCTGTAAATCAATATTAGAGTGTGGCTTTGCCTAACGAGTGCATGGTGACTCACCACTTGATAGCAAATCTGGTGACACGGGGTTTCTCAGCAAGAACATTTCTCTTAACTCGGTCTAGGAGTGGCTTGGCGGGGGGATCGGCGTTCAATTCCTCAGAATCATATTCGTTGTTAACATAGTAGCCAACTCGAACAAATTCTCTACCATCGTAGGCGCATGTAAGAAGAATGACAGTAACACCGAGGATTTCTGCGTCTGGGATTCGCTTGGTATCTGGGGCATCTGCCTGGAAGAGGAATTTATTTGTGCCGACTGGAATAGGACCGACAAGGAGAGAATCGAGTTCTTGGTCATGTTCGTCGCTTTATTTTGTTAATTTCAAATTTGAAGTAGGCAGAAACTCAAGGAGGTGGAGACGTACGACGTGGCAGAACCAACATAGGTCAATTTCCATTCGAGATCTGTGATGAATAGATAGGTTAGTGATTGAAAAGATGGAGGCGCAGGCAATCCCGAGAGAGGCAGAACAGGAACTTACCCTTTTGCAATGCCTCAAGACACTCGAAAGTGATCTCAAATTCATAAGGATCCCCGAATTTGGCTGGATTGTTGAGGACATTGACACCGAGAAGTGAGACGACAGACATCTTGAAAGTGGTTGATTTTGCTGTTTCGTATAATGTTTAGATGAGTTCCAGCTGTCGATTAAAGAACTGTACTCTTTTTAACCAAAAGATGCCAATCAAGTGAATTTTGTGAAGTCGTGAGAAATACTATGGTAGTGATTGTATTGTGTATTGGTAGAAGAGAAGAAGGGTCGAGACGAATAAAGTCGATAAATTGGTTGATGGGGCAGCATTTAGTTCCAAATATCACGGTGAGTAATGGCAGTATTAACGCGTCTGGAAAATCCCAATCGCGTGTATTGAGATGTTTGAACCGCGATTTCCACTTTACGAAATACGCTAATCGTACTTGGTATTAGCGCGACTCTCTCATTTTCTTCGCCTTCTTTCCAAGGTTGTGACTAGGTATCTAGTTAAGAGCTCTCTCAACTTTTGGCGATATCTACAAGGAAAGAAATCTTGTTTGTTTCTTTTTTTAATGAGTACCTCATCAACAACAATAATCAAGAACATCAACAGTTGATTAATTTAGATACTCTACCTACTTTCTTTGTTGCGCCGACGATCCTTTGACTTTGCGCGCAAGTTTGTTGCACTCTCTATACAGGTTAGCCTTTCCTTTAACTTGCCTTCCTCAACATCTTTTCACTACAACGACGCATGCGCATTTGCTAACTTATTATTGATATTCTTCTAGACACTTTTGAGCATTAATACTTACAATCCCTACCACATTAATTCAAAATCATCGCTCGCGCATCCAAACAACAACTCAAAACGGTCTTGTCTTCAAAATGGCGGAGGAAGATGCAGATATAGCTCTTTTACATCAGTTTCAGGCAGGTCAAGAAGCTGCGGCTTGGGAAGATGGAGATAATGGAATCGCAGAGGGAGATCTACCTTCCAATACAGAAGATAACAACGAACATGTCAAGCAAGATTCCGTTAAAGATGCCCAAGTTTCTCGTGCTTTGTCTCCTTCAGGCGCAGCTGCTTCGGCCGCTGGCGACGATTATGACCCCTCCTCTGTTACATCCCTTCCAGCTATGGTAACTGAACAAGATTCTACAAGACCCAGCTCTCAAACTTCTGTGCGCAAACCAAAAACTGTCGGGGGATTTATTGCAGATGATTCTGATGAGGAGAATGACGAATCTACACCAATTGATACTGGTCATTTGCAACTGCCAGCCTCTGATGACCCCAAACGATCTCCTTCTCCATTGCAAAATTCTATTACTCAACAGGAAGTGCCCATCAAAATGGAGAATCAAGTTGATTCTAAGCCCGAGACACTTTCCTCTGTTCCCAATTCCATGAATCCGAGTAACGTTGGAACACCTATAGAACAATCTTCGGTGCAAGTGCCCATTCCTGTTGGTACATCACAAAGTACATCTGTTCCTAGAGCTCGCCTTCCCCATGATAAGATCGGTATGCTTGAAGATCGGGTCAAGGAGGATCCTCGAGGTGATATGGAGGCATGGCTTTCTTTGATTGGTGAACATCGCAAGCGTAACAAGTTGGATGATGCCAGAGCAGTTTATGAAAGATTCTTAAAGGTCTTTCCACACGCTGTAAGTTATAAGTCAGCTAATTCTTTTTCCCGCAACACTTACTAACAGTAAATTAGGCGGAGATATGGGTTGCTTATACTGAGATGGAACTCGAATACGAAAACTTCAGTGCAGCAGAACAAATCTTTGGCAAATCATTATTGACGGTCCCGAACATTCAATTATGGTCGGTTTATTTGAACTACATACGCCGCATGAATGACCTTAATGTCGATCCCAGTGGTACAGCTCGTGCAACCGTGTCTCAAGCATACGATTTTGTGTTGGCAAACATTGGGATTGATAGGGATTCTGGTAAAATATGGCAGGATTATATTCAATTCATTCGTAGTGCACCTGGTTCAATCGGTGGCAATAGCTGGCAAGATCAACAAAAGATGGATCAATTGCGAAAAGCCTATCAACGTGCCATCTGTGTTCCCATGTCAAACGTGAATGAATTATGGAAGCAGTATGATCAATTTGAGATGGGCCTGAACAAGATGACGGTGGGTTTCTGGTTCTCAAATTTCGTTACGGCTCAGAACTGACAGATCATATTAGGGTCGGAAATTTCTTCAGGAGAGGTCTCCAAATTACATGACTGCAAGAAGTGCGAATACTGCGCTTGAAAATATCATTCGCGGACTTCAGCGCACAACTCTACCTCGACTTCCACCTGCTTTTGGATTTGAGGGTGATCAGGAGTATTTACATCAACTCGACCTA